GTAGGGGCCAAATTTAAAGATACATATATATATATATAATTTTGGTTTGTCTCTGTTAAAAGAAATAATAAATCAAACGGGTGGTGGGTAATAAAAATAAATGATTAAAAATGCCCGTTCTTAATATTGTTGCCGGTTTATCACGCAAGATCCAATCATTCTTGATGATGTGTATGTATAGTACATATGAATGTTCATATATGTTATTGCAAGGGTACATTGGATTTTTTTTTAGTGCAAGTTTCTTTGTAATAAAATGCATCGTCTTCTTTCATGAATTAATGTAGTAAAAGTTCAATTTGTTTGATAGTTATCCGATCTTTGTTACATAATCACGGGAGTTGATTTTCTTTCTTTATTACGAAGAGAGAGAGAGAGAGAGAGAGAGAGAGAGAGAGAGGGAGTTGAGTTTAATTACAATTGGCATAACATGATTTAAGAAAACGTTAACCTTTTAAAGTTGCTAATCAATTCCCGATATGTTTTGTTTGGCTCATAGAACTTCAAACCAATATAAAAAAATCATATTTCAATAAATTAAATTAACACTTTTGATAAGAAATTTATCTATATCCATTTTTACGATTAAAAAGTCAATCGTAAGCTATTTGGGTCAGTGAAAAAGAAATCGGAAGCACTATAACATATATATATGTGATGATAATTCAAATTTATAATTATTATATATAATATCATATGGATGCCAATTAAAGAGGGAGAAGATGAAATTAATATAAGAGATGAGTCCCCAGCGCGTGCCTGATGATGTTGACTTTTCTTCCTTCCCTTTTTCTTTTAAATTTGATTTCATGTGCTCTTGCCATTAGTGGGGCATCATTCTTCACGTGAATTGTTGTTGTTGTTACTATTAAATAACCCATATAACATTTTAAAAAATATGTTACATACAAAACATAGACTAATAAGTGTTGTTGTCTTACATTTAAGAACAATAATAAGAGAGAAAAAAAAGAATAGTGTCAGTCCGAAATTATTTAAAATTTATAAAGAATACATGTGTGGAATTATGACATTCATGGGTCAGTTAATATATAGTTAATGGAAGGTCGTTAATACTCCAAACTCCAAAATTGCACTTTTTGTTTTCTAATGTATCAGCACCAAACATCCATGTACGATGTACAACCCGCCACGTTTCTTTTATTTTCTTTATTGTCTTTCAGTTTTTTTTAAATTAAAAAAAAAAATTGGGATCAAACATTATGAATATGAAACATGTTTTCTTCACGGCCTATTTCGAATAATGTGGTCCTTACTCCTTAGTGTACCCCGTCCCACTTGACAAATAGACTACATTTTGGAAATTTGTGCCTGTATATTAATTATTACCATGTCAAATTGACTAGATATCGAAAATTACCCATTCTTTTTTTTTTATTATGAAAAATTACCCATTATTTTATACGTATTGTTTCTTTGTTTTTGTATTTGTAATTTTTTTTTTTTACTTTCTCTGGGCCCAAAATGGTCGGCCCTTTTTCTACTCTAATCAATAACCTAAGTGAATCAACTTTTATATGGGCCTTAGGCCCATTTCTTAATTTGATCAATATATTTTGGGCTTAGGCCCAAATCCCAACTACACCATTCACCTGACAGAATTTCGAAATTTATCCTTAAACCAGTGTGTATATATGCACCCACACCCACGTGCACTTCATAAAATATTCTAAAATTTTAATAAAAGATAAAACGACAATTGCAGGGGTTCTTCACTCAAATGACCCAGATGGGTCGCATGAATTTCACCTGTACACCAGAAAAAATATAACACATTTTTTTCTCCGTAAAAAGACGAAATTACCCTTAATGAATCACGATATTTATCCGTTCGAAAACAACTTCGTTATTACGACTTCGTAATTAATTCTAAATATAGTTACAAAAAGGTGGCAAAAAAAATCATACCTCTTATTTTAGTTGTATATCAGTTATATGTTAGTCGCAAAAAGGTCGTAAAAAATAAAACGAAAAGGGTATTTTGGACTTTTTCACCCGAAAAGTGGGTTAAAATTGAAAAAAAAAATTTTTTTTTTTGGAAGTGGTGTACCCTGAAATTGGTGTGAAACAAGTAGGTTATTTGGGTAATTTTCCCCAATTGCAGGTAATGAAGGAGAGAAAAATTCATTTTCTTAGTCTAATTAATGAAAGATTAGATCCCATAATTATATTTAAAACTCTAATCACTCAAACAAAACCTGAAATTATAAAATTATTCTCCCAGAATTATAAAGAACACAGAGTTACGCTCATCAACAATGCGATTGGACACATGTAACGATCTTGGAATCCGTGCTCCTAAAAGCCCGGCTTCCGAATACAAAAAACCCTAATCCGAAACCAGCCATGGCCGCCAGGAAAACTCCTCCGTTGAAGGACATCACAGCCAACATGACCAGGTACGACAAGCCCGTACGGACAGTGTAGACGGCGGTCTGGGCGAGTCCGCCGCCCAGGGGGGAGCCGCCGGGACGGAGGAGACGGCAGCGAGAGAGCCACTCGGAGGCGGCGGCGAGGAGGAAGATAACGGCGAGGCAAAGCCAGTACATGCCGAGGTTGTCGCGGCCGGGCCATCCGTCGAAGAGGACCTCCGTGTCTTTTCCCCAGAAGAACGTCATGTGCATCATCATGCGGCGGCGGCGCGGCGGTGGGAACATAGGCGCCGTTGACGGAGCCTGGTTCTGTCCGATCATGTTCATGTTTTTTTTTTTTTTGTGTTTGATGATGAAACCAATGCGAGTTGTGTGAGATGATGTTTGCTTATAAGAACGGTTGAGGGTTACGTGCCGTTTTGGTGTGTAGTACAGTTTGAACGTAAAACGCGATAGATCTGTTGGATTAATTTTGTACTACTGTACATCTTTTAAAAAATAATATTAATTAAAATATAATCTTCCATTCTGATTTTTTTTTTCAAATTTCGAACTAAAATATTTTTTATTTTGCTGTTTATTTGACATAAATAAGGAAAATCTCGTTACATTTACCAATTTAGGAAAATAAAACAAGTCGGAATATTTTCGAAATTGGAAACGTGGAATTAATTCGGAAAATTATCAGGACAGCCTCAGCCGACCCATTGGGCCTACTAACAAAACTGGGCCGACCCGACCATGTGATGTTCGGCCGCTAAATTAATTTTTTTTTTTGTTAAAACAATTTTACGACGGAGGATCCTAACTCTCCTTCGGAAGCGCTAACTAAGTAAACTTCCGATCCGAGAGTAACTTTTGTAGAGTTTTCATTTGTGAATTTACCTCTCACCCTAAACTTGACCACTCGCCCACGATATGTTGGGTCGCTAAGGGTTCGACTGGTTGTATCGCAGCGGTTGCGGTTGCAGGTGATGGTGTTTTCAGAGCGTTTGATAGCGATTATGAATGATAAGTACTGACTGGTTGATAAGTTGTTGTTGGCAGCGATTGCGAGTAGGTGCGATTAAAAGTGAATGATTCGTTGCGATTGCGGTTGCGTTTTGATATAAATTATAAAAAATATTATTTTAAAATAATTTTTTATAATAATTTTAATTAAATTTTTAGTATCATTTGATAAAAGATTATTTACTAAATTTATAATAATTAAATAATAACTTTAAAATGTAAATATTATCAATTTAATTTATTTTTAAGTAAAAAAATAATTTTATTATAAAAATTATTAAAAATAATCATTATTAAATCTAAAAAGTATACTATTATATATTTTTTTATTAAAATATAATACTAAAAAATAATATCAAATCATAACACTAAACAAAATCATCACAAATATATATATATATTAGAATTTTTATATAATTTTTAATGAAAATATTTTAGTTTTTTTGTCAAAACGCCAGAAACCGCTACCAAAACGCAAGATAGAAGCTGCGATTAGAAAACACAAGTTTGGCTGCGGTTGCGGGTGATTGCGATTTAACCAGTCAGTTTTTCAATCGTCTGTAACCGCTGGAAATCGCAACCGTTCCGTTTACGGGTAGTGGCAGTGCAACCAGTCGCCCCCTAAAAATTAGATTTATCGAAAGGTTAGGGTTTTTCATTTGCAAGCAAATTAATGCGTCCTGGTTTTATATCCAAAATATAACAATGTTTCTATTTAGATATGTATGGGTATACACAACTTCTAGTCACCCACTCACATGTCATTTATGGTGTGATGTTACGTGTAACGTTCTACAATTATGGATATAAAATGAATTAAATATTTTTAAATTGGGATTACAAATTAGGATTTGCCATCTCATTCGGGGTGCAACTTTCTTAACATTTTTACTAACGGTAGTTGTAAGGTAAACCATGATTTTCTCTTAATGGAGAAAATAATAATAATAATAAAAAATTGACGTTTTTAAATTAGAATTACAAAATAAGAAGAAGAAAAAAAAGGTAAAAAAATGCTGATTTAATTTCTAAATTTTACTTTGTGTAGTACACAAGTTGACAAGTCAAAATGGCTGTACTGTACGCGTACGTTACAACACCATAAATACCGACGAACCCTTCTTAAATTTTCTCTCCTCCCAACCAAAAAAAACAATAAATCCGGACAAGAACCAATAAGCGATGGATCATGACCACATGCATGGCATGACACCACCGCCACCATCAACATCCATGATGAACAACGCCAACGGATCATCATCATCCATGATGAACCATCCACATAAAATGATGATGCACATGACCTTCTTCTGGGGCACGAACACGGAGGTCGTCTTCTCCGGATGGCCCGGCACCAGTTCCGGCATGTACGCGCTCTGCATCATCGTCGTTTTCTTCGCCGCCGTCGTGACGGAGTGGCTCGCCCACTCCGCCGCCCTCTGCCGCGGAGGTGCCGTTAGCCGCGCCCCCCCCGCCCTCTGCCGCGGAGGTGCCGTTAGCCGCGCCGCCGGGCTCGTCCAGACCGCCGTCTACACCCTCCGGACAGGCTTGGCTTACCTCGTCATGCTGGCTCTCATGTCCTTCAACGGAGGCGTTTTCCTCGCCGCCATCGCCGGCCACGCCGTGGGTTTCCTGGTTTTCGGAAGTAGGGTTTTCAAGGACTCCGGTGACCGGAAAATCGCCGATCTCCCTCCCTCTGGTTGCGCTTGCTGATGACGATCTATTATTTGTGTTGTGATGTTGTATGCATATCCTTTTTGTTGCCAAAATGATATAAATCTTTTTTTGTTGTAAAAAATGCAAAAAAAAAAAAAAAATGTTATTGTGTGGTAGGAATATGGCTATATGTTCTCTTCACATAATTACTTATATATATATATATCATTTTAAAATTTTATGGTCATAAATATATTTCATATACGAAAATAATGGAATTAGTAAGAAAAATCGTGCCTTTCGGAATTAAGAGAAGTTTACAATATGGATATATATTAATACTTGCTAGTCTATGAACTATGATATTTATGTGAGTAGTATAATAATATTTATGGAATTTGAAAATATTAAATATTAGATTCAGAACAAATTGGTGGAAAACACAGTTCTATGCATCCCCGTGACTTCTCAGCATTCATCTGCTCTTTTACAAAAAGACAAACGTCTTGTTCTCTTCTACAAAGACGAAAGAATTCTCTTCTTGGCATTTTTTAAACAAAAAAAAAAATTCATATATATATATATATATATGTATGTATATGTGTGATCAATTTACATCCGAAAAAAAAAAGCTAAAAACATATTGATCATGTAACAGATGAGATTGAAATTTTTGTCACGTCTACCCCAACCGACGAAAATTCAACTAATTAACCAAATCTATCAAATTCGAATAAAAATTTGTTGTTTAAACTATAGTGGTTTCTAAATATTCTAGATTATATTGAAAATTTTGTTGGGATATTTTGAAAACAATGGTTTGTTTTTGTGTGAGAAACACTGCACCTAAACAATTAATGCAACATGAAATTAATATATTTTAGGCATCTAGGGATATTATATACGAGTAGAGGCGTGCGTGTGAGATTTTAAGATGGCATTGACTCAAATTAAATACAAACTTGTTTTTTTTTTTTATTTCCATATTTGGTTTCAATTTTGAATAAAAAATGTTGAACAAATAAAAACTAGTAATAATAATAATCATCGTCAGGATGATATATTTAGAAAGAGAAATAAAAATTTGTTACATACCCCCCTAAAACGGCATGCTCCGTGCCTGTTTAGTGATATAATGACACGCTTATTGCTAATTTTATACAAATTTCATTAAATAATTATCCTATAGTTTCAATACACACGTACATTTGAGTGTATCACACACATACACCATATGACAAGATCATTGTTCATATATATATATATATAATCGTGGAAGTTTTTAGAGCTTGTCCTAAATACTACTTAATTAATTTAAAATCGTCTAAGTTTTTTTTTTCTCTCTCATATGCAATATTTGTAACATAACAAATATTTTAGAACTTAATTAGAATGCTGTTATGGTTTTCGGAATTGTATGGAATGAGAACCGAAGCAATGCATTTCGTGTTGGGCCAGTAAAACGGGCCTAACTGGGCCTTATAATAAACAATGTTGGGCTATTTTGTCGTATTATTAGGCCCAGTTATTATACTCGCTAGTCACTATCAGATGGGTTAATGATCTTTAAATCTTATATCGACAATACACACACACACACACCGATGCATATACCCATGCATGCATTGAGATAATAGATACACGCATATATTAGCGTATTTAATTATAAAATTTTTAAAAATTCAATTGCGGAAACAGTATGTATATATATATAGGGAAACAATAATCATTGAAGCATGTGGTTATTTATAATATATTATTATATTAATGGTTATAGTAGTTATTGTATTTTAACTATAGTGGGAAACCTTAGTGACGCACGTACCATGAAATCAATAATGTAAAAATATCATTTTCAACCGTCTTTTCATTTCAACTCTGATTTTTAGTGGGAGAATATAATTATGAAAAAGTTGCATATATATATATTTTTTTATAAGTGTTAAAATGTTTACACTAAGAGAAAAATGTTAAAATGTATATACACTAAGAAATACGTACTAACAGGTGCTTTTTATAGACGTAAATGATGTGGATTTGATCAACAATTTAGGCAATTGGTAATTAAAGATTGAACATTGATCTTTATAATTATCACACTATTAATTAATTATTTTATATCATATGATTAATACTAGCAAAATTTAAAGTAGGAAAAACGGCATAATTATTCTTGCTTCTTTTTTTTTAACTTTTAAATCCATCCAAGTATCTTTAGACCAAAAGATAAAGTTCGGAAATAATAACACGTCGTGAGTAATAATAATAATAATGAAAGTACTTGTTGTATCAATTATCATGTACAGTTTTATACCAGTGAAATCATCTTATACAAAAAAGTACTTTTAATTGCCTTTTATGGTATTATTATTTCATTTTAGACAACACGGAAAAACACACAAATTCTGTCGGTGTTTCTGTTTGTTAATATATGATATTTCTCATATATATATATATATATATATAATGGGAAATGGGACGTCGTGCGGTCACGATGATTACTTTTTCTATTGTAGAATTTAAGATTCAAGTTGACAAAATATCAAGAGATACTAAGATACTATTAATAATAAAAAGCTCACTACATATATAGATAATTTATTCATTTTTTGATTCGACCCTATTCCCGGGGTATAAGATTTTATTGAATGAAAATACTGAAACTATATTTATGATTTTTGTACGAATCAAATTTACTTATTACATATTCAAATATTACTTATAAAATCATTTTTTTACTGGGAAAAGTTAAATTATGTAAAACTATCCACTCAGTTTATTATTATTATTATGGATGGTCTCTCACCTTATTTTAATATAGGGCAGTGCCATATTCTGTCCACTTTGGTTTGATTTAATAACAATTGTTATTAACATTCATGAATTATATAAAAAGATAAGTATCCATATTAAGGTCTTTACGAAACCACAGGCT